CTACCTATATCTATTTGTGCTATATAACGTAATATGTACAGCTGGAAGCTCCAAAGGTGGAGGCGGACCGCCGCCCACTGGGGGCACTGGGGGCGGTACAAGCACGGATGGCTGCCGGGGCCACATCATGCTTTGAAGCCCTATGGGGGAATAGGCCAGAAACGTCGTAGGCAGATGATAGGGTCGGGTGCAGAAGGTTAATGTAGGGGCCTTAATAGTTCGAATAGGGTTTTTGGGGTCCCCAAACCCTATTCTAATTATTAAGCTCTCTATATTAGTTGCCCTGTGGCTCGCCGCATGCCGAGGTCATGTCTAGAGACTCGGGCACATGCTTGTTCATGAGAGTCAGAGCGGCAGTCAGCATCTAAGGGGTTGCTCCATGTTCCCTGGCGAGTCTGCCCTGGGGAACTAAACTGTTGCAGGTTTGCATGAATCATCCACCCTAAACCCTAAACCCTATATAAACCCTAAACCCTAAACCCAGCACGGGCTTCCGAAAATAGCTATTCGCAGCACAGCCCGAAGCTCTCACCGAAGCTGAGGGCCTTCCTGGATCCAAGCTGTTCCGATAATCCCTGATGTAAAACATGTTTTTGAGAGGCCTCAACTTGCCGAAAGGATGTGATAGTTGTCCATTCCGATTCCCGGAGCCCATTCCCTTCTAATGTGGAGCCGAAGCTAGCACCTTCACAGACGCTAGAGTGGCTCAGAGGTGTTTGAGAGTATTCCAAAGACACTGTGTTCTCGCACCAGTGTCTCAGAATCGATGACGATGCAAGCTCCTGTCGTGTTGCTACACGGGCTATTGCGAAGTTTAATATATATATATATATACATACATACCACCTGTTGAGCATCGCCGTGATTGTGAAGACTGCAACCATAGACACACACATACACACACACACACACACACTCTCTCTCTCTCTCTCTGTATGTATTGATATACACATATGAGAATGGACGTCTCTGTGTATTTATAAAAAACATACAGGTAACTAGTGGTATAGAAAATATGCAAAAAAACTATGTACACAGGTACACATAAATACACTCGGACACACATACATACATACATACATACATACATACATACATACATAAATACATACATACATACATACATAAATACATACACACATATATGCATACATACATATACACACACGAATACATACGTACAAAAATACATAGATACACACACACACACATCCATGCATGTATGCCGCAAGACCCTTCACGGCGACTTGTGGCCAAGGCGTGAACCCCACCTGCGCCAGCCCACCCTGTGCGGCGCCCCTGTTCTTCAGTTGCAGACAGAACGCTTGCAAATGACCAAGAAAGATATCTTTAAGGTCTAGGTTTATGACCGACAGGGAACAGTTCGTATGTGTAGGATTTATAGTCATCCACGACTTCTGAAACAACACTGCATCTCCAAAGAAGGGGCTCTGGGCTTCAGGAGAGGTTGAGCGGCAAGCTTGTTTTAGGGCTTCCGGTCCACAGCCCGAGAGGATAAGGGTTAGGGTCTTGAACTTGTGTATGTTGCTTCCTTAGGGGCAGCTCTTTGTAGAGGCTTAGCGCTTTGAGAACTGATGTAGAAGGATGAATTTGTAATTGACTGAGGCCTAAGCATGATGTTGGCAAGCCATGTGGAAACGCAATCTTTGCTTTGAGGCTGGACAGTCCTAAACCCTAAACCCTAAAAACCCTAAACCCTAAAAGTATTGAGCGCACAAACCGGTTTAAAGCCTTAAGGCCAGACCGCATGATGTCTTCTTTGTGCTGCCTCGCCCTGCCAAGTCCATTCTTGATTCGGGTAACATAGAAGCCTACATAGTTGCCTATATATATATATATACATATATATTTATTTATTTATTTCTATTTATATTTATAATTATATTCACATTTATATTTATATTTATTTACTTATATTCCTTCGAGCTCCTTGTTCTAATTATCGTACACTGGAGCACAAAGCCCGCTTCTACTAATAAAAAGCCCTCTGCAAAATGTAGCTGCTCGGGGCATGTGCGGCGACTGAGGCTGGATACGTCATCGAGGGTAGTTCTGTCTCTAAATTCGGATCCTTTTTAAAGTCACCAAAATTAAAATAGTACGGCACCCTAAAACAAAGGACCCTAAAAGGGACCCTGATTTCGAGAACTACCCGAATCTAGGGCTGGTGTCCATGATGGCAGCTGTTGGCACCATTCGCAATCCGTTGTGCATTGTGCTTCAAGCGATCCAAGGAGCCCATTATGTATATATAAAAATAAGTCAATAAATAAGATAAATAAATAAAAGAATATATATATATATAATTAATATGTGCACCCACATGTAAATGTGCAGAGTCAGATGCTATGTTTGTAGACAGATGTAGATATGTAAGTCTGTCTGAGGCACGCCCCATTGTCTGGTTTCATGTCCTCAACCTCGTATCCTAATCCCAGAAGTCCTGGTCCCTCCACAGAGACACAGCATGTTGCACTCGAGCACGACAGTACGTTCTTCAATGTGATCTCGAATTGAGGATGTGCTTAAAGGATCATGGGGCTTAGTATCTAGGGTCAACGGCTACAGAGCCTTTTTTATTGGGGTCGGAATACTTGTCATTCTTATTAGTATTATTATTACTATTATTATAATTAGTCCCTCGTAGCCCGTATAATAAATGAGCTAAAATGTGCCCCCCCCATGCCTTGTTTTGATTATAATATAACGCCACCGCATCGTACCGCACAGCGAAAGCTTTACTTGCAAACGTTTTCTATACGGTGAGATCTTAGAACGAGCAAAGAAACCAGGCTTGGCGATGTTGGATGCACGACAGTTGCGGGAACTGAAACTCTGGCACACGAGATGATTGCAGCTGGTGCAACTGGACCTGACAGATGGTTTACTGGGTTCTTGTTAAGGGATTTGAATCAAGGTATTAGAATAGGGAGACCATCTTATTGAAAAGAGATCCCTGATATGGTAACCTAAACTAAATCCCTTAACAAGAGCCCCGTTTATGGAGCTTGGGGATGGTGTGTCTTGTGCTGTGAGGCTATGGGTGAGTGGGGATCCCGGGTGTAGGGGTTCAGAACCCTGAAGGATCCATCGAGACATCTCCGCAACAGGGAAGTAGAGTCTAAGTAGAGGAGGAGAATACACTGGGGTGGGCGGAGTGATACATTATGCCCGGCCGAAGGCAGCCAAAGGTGCCAAGTTCCAGGTCTTCGAAGCAGTTCGTTGAACTCTTAGGCTTGGGTTGAAGCGGCCTAAACCCTAAACCCTAAAGTTCGGAGTTGAAGAGGCTGTGGCTGGGATGTTTCTTGATTATATTTTTATAGATTCGACTGATTGCAGGGTGTACAGTGATGCTCGGCCCCTAACATCAGAAACATGATGTAGGACAAGCAGTATAGGGAGGCACAGCAAGCAACCAAGCCAGGTAAAAGTACGTGGCAGAAACTGCAGTGATGACGGCTTGGCAGTCATGCTGTCATGCTAGCAGGCAGCACCTGTACAAGTGTGGGGTTGCCCTTTCATAGCTTAGGCGGTTACTCCTGCCCGAGTTTTAAGGCAGAGTTGCACTCAGGTGATTTCAATAGCATTCGGGCCAGCAGCGTGATTTCACGCCAGATCCAATACACAGGATACGCAAGCACATGGATACATGACCCAGTGCACTGAATCTTCAAGCCGAACGTTGCAAGCGCTTAAGCCCACAGGCCCCCCATGAACACCCCAAACACCAAAATCGGCGACCCCGCACTCTCCTCCCAAAAAAATCAAGAATTCGAAGCCTAAACCCTAAAGCCTAAACCGTTCGATCAGCAGAAGACTTCCTGGAAGCATCCAGGGAACGATTGCTGCCAATGCCCACATCTTTGGGCCTTTCGAGGTGTCTGCTTCAGGGTTTAGGATGCCACCAAGAAGAGGGTTTAGGTTTAGGGTTCCGGGGTTCAGAGGTTTAGGGTCTAGAGTCTAGGGGTTTTAGGGGTTTAGGGTCCAGGGTTGCGATGCTGGGGACCGAGGGTTGATGTTGCATCCGTCTCGAACTTCGGCATTGAGGTTCCTAGGATTCTGATGCATCCACCACCCCTATGACCCTATGAAGCCTCACCGCAGAAGGGGTTTGGGGATCCTAAAGCCTAAACCCTAAAACGGCTCTTGGGAAGTTCACGGGTTCCATGCAACAAGGAGCGGACGGTCTGAATTGCAGACAGGTGCTCGGAAGAGGGTTCGAGCTTAGGCTTTAGTTAGGGTTTATTAGGGGTCTACTTAGCCTTCATAAGGGTCTAGATAGGATTCTTAAGGTTTGGCACACGTTGAAGGTCTACCTAGGGTTCCTTGGAGCAGAGGAGAACTTCACAAAAATTAACTACTCGACTTGTTCACGAACTCTAGCGGTAGCAGCAGCTCCGTGATGGGGAAATAATAGCGATGAAACCCAGGGGGTGAAAAAACGCGAAGACCTGTACCTGAGCTTTCAAGCCGAAGCCCTTGCCTGAGCAGTCCCCGACAACTGAACCCTGTCTTCACCTACTTGGTTTCCAGGCTCTGGAACCCACCATGTAACAGGCTATGCGGCTATGCAGACAACAGTTACGGTCAGATCGCACTTACATTGTAAGTATGTCAGCACAGAGCGCAAGAACGAAGTCCGCCAGATTCAAGGCTCAAAGTTCGGAAGTCTTGCATTCTGACTTACGAGCTGTGTGTTGCCCTTTTACAGACGCAGGCCTTCAATCATTGAGGTCAAGCGCAGGAAACTCCCTTAGCCCTAAAGGCCGACCTTACCTCACCCGAAGTTGGGCCCTGAACCCTGAGCTTCGGCGCGAACCCCCGTGCATAAAACAGTCCATCGCTAAACGGAAACATTCTAGATTCTTAGCCTTCAATCAAGCCCCAAGCCCACGTTCCTAGCACCCTAAACCCCCAACCCTGAACCCTAAACCCTAAACCCCCAACCCTGAGAGCCATGAATCTGCGACCTGGAACAGGCAGGCTTCACCAGCCAGCAAGACAACATCATCACCAACTGGGGCTGCACGACTCCCTCCTTGGTCTACGACACGGCCCGGGGGGATCTGTGCACCAAGAGACGGTGATCACTTCGGGTTTAGGGTGTGTAGTGCCTACTAGCAGCTAGGGCTGGCTTGGGGAGATCGTCCTTCGGATTCGCATCCAAAGGTAGGTCAAGGCTTCCTACATTTCGCTGTTCCGCCTGTGCAGCTGTTTGCAGTAGAGATGGCTGATGACCTTTCTTTGGAGGGTCGCGCAGCTGTACCTACACTTCACAACCCAAGGAGCATGCAGCTTCAGCCCAGAAGGCGAAGTAAACTCACTTAAGCTTGGCGAGGCAGGCTCTTTTCCCCATGATGCCCGACTCCGGAAGGTTCACAATCCCTAGGGCTCCAGTTACCTAAATAGTAGGTTACTGGGGTGCATAATATATGGTTATATGGTTAGTAACCCACTATTTAGGTAACTGGAGCCCTAGGGAATGACAGGTCAAGCAGGCCGAAGTTCACATGAATCTGTGCTGCTGCTTACAGGAGGGTGGCAAGGACATTGGTATTGCCGAGCGCCATGTCGCGCATACCTGCGACATCGAGCTCCTCGCTTAGGCATTGAGAGCAAGGATTCCTGGATTACGGGGTTTTGGGATTCAGGGTTGGTGCTTTGCAAATGGGGGTTTCCGAAAATATGGGACCCAAATATAGTACCCTAAATTTAGTAGTAGGATCCTTGTCATAAGGACCCCCCCCAAAATAAGGTACCCTAATTTACGGAAAGACTCAAATCAAGCTGAGTCGCCCATAGACAGAGTCTTCTCGCCATGGGGGAATTTCAGCTCAGAGCTTCAAGCCGCAAGTGCTGTGTCCATGCATTAAAGCAGTCGTGTCGGATGTTCGTTCGCAAGCTATTCTTTGCGCAACTTTTGATATCCAAGTAGTTGTGCGATTTGTTCTAGGTTTTGAGGACAGACATTGCTGATCTGGTGCAGCTTTCTGGCAGATAGTTTAGGCACATGTTCCGAAGCCACTACGATCCAAAACTCAGAAGCTAGTTCGCAGCCTCCCCTGTGCGATTTCTGAACCCTGGTCCAGAATTAGAACTCATCACATCATCTTGCCCACTTGCAATCGCGGGCTAAGCAGACGTTGTACTGGCTGTGAAGACTCACAGTCTCCGCGGAAACATTTTATTCTACAGCTCCAAAACCCCAAAAGCTCTCGCCAAACCCTATAAAGCCATGAACCATAGGTTCCCGCGAACTGTGGGCAACACGTACTTCGGTGTGGTGGGCCCTTGCGGTGGGCATACAGGCGACTTGGGCATAGGAACACTGGCTGTGATATATCAAGAGCATTGCTAATGATACACATCAAAAGAAGAACAACGATGATAGAAACAGCTTTCTGCTTGTACATTACTGCACTTTTCGAGTTTTGCTACATTGCAATCCCTCTTTCTGGAGCCCTAGGGCGCTGATTTTTGAGGCAGATTTCCAGATGCAGGTTGCTCAAATTCTGGCCAAACTGGTTCCTGCACTGCTCCACTTAGGGTATCAGGAGACCTAGTATTACAAGCTTATATAGTTGCAATCACCTTCTTATTGCAAGGTGATAAGTATCAGTATCTCAGTATTACACGGATATTTTTTGAAAGTACTTTGGATGGGGGGTATAAGTAAACTACACCTGCCTTGTTTTATAACTAAGTCACATGAGCTGTTGAGCAGAAGCCAGCTGCCAAGGCGACTATCACTTTCACCGCAGCTTCGCCTGCCTCTACGCTGTGCCTCGGTTGATAGATTTGTTTGCCTCCACAGTTCAAGACATGTCAAGACAGATAGGTTTTCCCCTGGGCACGGCCCTCGAAATCCTCACCTAAACGAACTCCCCAACCCGGACACAGCTACGACTCCTAAACCCAAACCTGAAACTCTGAAACCTCCAAAACTACCCTGAACGCCAATCATCACCGAGGCCTCTGGCGGGCACTCCACAAAGGTCGGCGTCGTCGCAGGGCACGACATGTACGGAAAGTGGGAGGACACCTGGGTTTAGGGTTTCAGGTTCTGGCTTTGGGCTTTAGGCGTTGGCATGCTTTCGGCTTTCGGCTTCAAGATGCTTTCGGGTTTAGGATGTTTTTGAGGTTGCGGCATTGTCAGTACAATCATCTTATCCCAAGCTCCCCCTTGAAGGCTGCACCGACAAGGCTTAGAGTAACTCTAGAACTGCTAAGCCCGAGATCCTGTCAACACTTTCGAAGCCTTGAACCCTGCTCGGGATTTAGAGTTTCAATCTCAGGATGGTGAAGGAGGAAGGTTGCAGGGGCATAGGTTCACAGGTACATCTCGGTGTTTACGATAAGGGAGATACTGTGGGGAGAGTAGTCATAAGAGCCCTAATTAAGAATTAAGTCACATAGGTAGTTCTCTAAATTAGGGTCCCTTTTAGGCTCCTTTTCATAATTTATAAGGGTGCCGTACTTTTTTGGGGACCTAAAAATAAAAGGGACCCTATAATTTAGAGAACTACCCACATCATGCTTAGGAGTAGAGTCCCAGACTCAAGAGGCTCTTCGCTGGGTTCAGAGCTTGGCTGATGTATCAAGACGTTTGAGTGTTGCAATGATCCGATACTGAGCCGGGCAGGCGCAAGCTTGGCAGCCATGCCCGGTATCTCCGTGAATCGCTTTCTGTTGCAATCCGTAGATAGCTGAACAAGTTGAATTAAAACTTAAAAGGCACAAGAGCTGGGACTATGCACATTCGTGGTGTCGTCGTCATTGGCCCGTCCTCCTCGCCTGTTTTCGAGGTCAAGGAGTCGGGATCAAACTCTGCTGCTCCACTGAACAAGTTTAAGGCCAGTCCCGCGCCCCCTCGATTTCATAGATGTCCACCAGCCACCCTACGGCCCTGCAAAGAGTGAAGATACCGTATTACTGTATCCGGAGGACTTCGACAACAACCTGTTGCCACTGCTGGACGCTTGCGGCGCCCACATCGGGCCCACGCCGGACAGATGATGCCGAGCAGACAGAGAGCAGAAGAAGACGATGTAGGCAACAGCAAGCACAGAGACACACAGACACCCTCACACAAAGCGTGACCGCTTCGGCTGGTGATTTTGATGACGAAGATTAATAACAATAACACTAATCACAATAATAACATTAATAATACTTATTGTTATATGATGATGATGACGATGATGATGATGATGGTAAATCGATAGTGACGACGACGATGACGGTGATGCTGATGCTGACATGATGATGGTTGTGGTGCCGAAGATGGGCGTGACGATGCAGGGCCAACGGCAGCAGCAGCAGCATCAGCTGCTGCTGTCTGCCTGCTTCTTGTGCCGATGCTGATGCTGAAGAAGAAGATGGTGGCGGTGAACATGGTACTAGCAATGTGGCAATTGTGACTCTGTTGATGATTGGACTTTGCTTCAACGCATGTGAGTATGATGATTTAATCATCAGATTGTTGATGATGGTGGTGATGATGATGGTGATGATGATGATGACCATGATGACGACGACGACGACTATGACCAGTAGGGAGACCCACAGTGCCGGATGCCCAGTGGCCAAGGTGCTTGTACTCCTGGCTGGGACTGTGTGTGTGTGTGTAGCTTACCTTTGCTAGGTCCCCGTAGGGATGAGACTGCAAGCTTGTTTTGGATCATTTCGTTAAGGTTTGTTTTTTTTTGAAATGGGCGGCTTTCTGTGGGAACTTCGGCTGCAGGCTTTCAAGTTTGTCAAGTATCCTATGTTCGCTAGGTTTGTCGGCCGAACTCATCGCAATCTGAAACAGTTTTTGCGTCAGAGGCAAGCACAGCTAAGTCTGCAGTTTCTGCATGGGGTTTGTTCAGTATTGTTGTTTGGATGGTAAAGGCAGAAGCCAGAAGTTTGCAACAGTTTGTATCCCCCAACCCGAACAGCATGGAACTAGGGGAACCGAAGCACAATTCTGCTATATGTCCCGACTTCGACATGATGGCCTCAACTATCTGCAGTAGGCACCTATAAGTGCACTGAGCAATGAAGGAGAGCTCGACGCCGGTGTACCACTATCATGTGCAAGACCAGGTGCATGGGAGGAGAACGCATGCCCTGAGCCCTGGATCCCTAAACAGCAATTATTCCCTGCTAGTATTAGGGAGACCCCTTCAAGGGGACCCTTCTTAACGCTACGTATGACTCTCTTAAAAGGGACCTTGTTCAGAGGGTCTATATCCCCAAGCGTCCCCCTAATCCTTACCCCCAGTTATCGAGGTGGGCGTGTCCCGGAAGCCAGGAGATACCCGCCAATAGCCGGATTGGGCATGAGTCAACAGTTTGTAGTCTTGGTGCGTACACATTTCTGACATATACATACACGTGTGTGTGTGTGTGTGTGTATATATGTACTTATATGATCCCGGAAAAGACCCCCAGCCGACCGAACCACAGCACACCACGCGGAGGAGAAGAGTCCATCAGCTGTGGTGATAATGGCGCTCACCCATAAATAAATAAATAAATAATAAATAAATAAATATATATATATATATACATGTAGACGCATGCAGATACGCATACATGCATGCATGCATGCATGCACGCGCACGCATGTGTGCATGCGTATACATACATATACATTCATATACGTACATTCACATGCATACGTGAATGTACACATACATATACATACATATACATACATATACATACATATACAGACACATGCATACACATACATCCATGTTATCTCCCTTAGCTTTTGCTTGCTATATGGAACGCCTTCAGGAACGAAATCCTTTGACGACTCTTCCTCCTTTCAAGCCCTGGGGCCTGAACTCTAAGTCCCTCAAGTCGTGAAGCTAACGTCCCCTAGCAAACCACTTCAATTGCAAGCCCCTTCGTAATATAGAAGCCTGCAGTAGTGCAGCTACAGTGCAAAAGGCCTCCAAAATGCCACTGTTCTGAGAAGTCATAGTAGTACGGCCCTACATCAGTTAGGCAAGACCACCTTCAAACTCATAGGCTCTCGAAGGCCTTTTTGCAGGCCGCGACTTTCAATTCCTGAGCTCTCCAGGCCCGAGCTTTTAGCCTCATACATGAGCAAACCTTGCAAGACCCAAACACTGAGACCTGATGGGACCTACGCCCGAAAACCAAACACTAGACACCCTAACCCCTATAGGCTCTTCAGCACTTTCAGAAACCGCTCAAAAGCCGTTGCCAAAGAAGTCATGGAGCCCTTGAAGAACCCGGAAAGGAACCTCATGTTCATAAGTTCAGGGTTTAGTGGGGTTTACTAGGGTTTACTAGGGTTTAGTAGGGTTTAGGGTGTTTAGTAGGGTTTAGTAGGGTTTAGCAGGGTTTAGTAGGGTTTAGGATAAATGATGATAGCCTTGCAGTACCCTTGAAGCAGGCGCCTTTCACCGTGGGCTGCCATGGGCCCAGTTCCAGCGGTGGCCTCGTGAGCCTGGCGGCGCCACGGCTCGGCGGTGGGGGTTCCCTTGGGTTGAGGAGTAGGGTTTCCGATTTTACTTGGGAGTTTCCGAAATTAAGGGGTAACTTATTTTAGGGTTGTTTTGACTGTTTTTAGGATTTAGGGTTTAGGGTTTAAGGGTTTAGGGGTTTAGGGGTTTAGGGTTTAGGGTTGAGGCGTTTCCATTTACTTGAGAGTCTCCGAAATTAAGGGGTACAGTACCTTATTTGGGGGGTCCTTATCATAAGGATCCCGCTAATTTAGGCTACTATAATGGGGTCCCCTATTCTCGGAAACCCCAACTTGTAGGGGGTTATAGGGCTCCTAAACCCTGAACCCTAAAGCCTTGAATCTTTCGTTGTTGGGTGAGGGGTTTAGGTGGGGTTGGTAGGTTTGCGGGCTTCGGGTTGACAGAGCTGCAGGGAGGATTGAGTGCTTGTTGAGGGTCAGGAGCTTGGGGTTGCGGCTGTTGGGATTGGAAGGCAGCATAAGGTGGCACATTGCAACAGCCAGAACGAACACAAATCACTTCAAGCACAGCGTTCCTTTTCAAAAGCGGGAATGACGACTAATCTCGCAACATGCTTCGCTGCTATCGTGATGACTCATGGTTCAGCCCTCGCTGCAGTTCGTGCTTCTGATGCTACGCGAAGCTTGCCCTATAGCTGAGTCCGCTTAGTGGCTGTGTGTACTTGAGTGTCCAGGTGTGTCCTTGATTACTTGTGGTCTTCGTATACGGTGTGCGAGGCCAGCTGCTTTGGACGCTTACACGGATTTGTCTAGCAATAGCGTGAGCAAAGCCATGGCACAGATGTTTGCGCAATCTTGGCCGAGTGACGAGAGAGCTACTCTAGTCTTGCCTCACTTCTGTCCATGCCTACAAAGATGCATTCGTTTTCAGTGTTTAGGCTTTTCAGCGGTGTATGTAATGTAGATATACGGCATCTTGTACCACAAGCAGCAGTCAGCACAGAAGTTTGGATTGGTGAACGTACGAATGCTGGCTTGCAGCAGCAGTAGCAGTCACGAAGGCAAAGAGACTAGATGTACATAGTCTTCGCAGCTGCCTAACTCAAGCAATGTGAATCTCGGCTGTGTGATTGCCATCGTGGCCATGTGTGGCCATCATCACCATTGCTTTCTGCTCGATTGCCGAGGTGTGCCGCTCTCTGTATTCGAATTGCGGAGGCAATGCTGACGTCATCAGCGTCACCCTTAAAACAGGCCAGACTGAGAGCTTGCCTAGACTTGTGCGGGCAACCGGCGCTACCCTTTCACTTTTTGAGCGTCAGGTTCGGTTCAGCGGAAAAGGAACTCTTGTGGTTCCTGCGTCCAAACCAAACTGCCATCGCCGGCGGCTGCAGTCAGTTGGGAACCCTAAGTGACCTTGCACTGTTGAATGCTTCTTATGCCAATTTATTCCCTAACCCCTCAACCCTAAACCCCAGGCCCCAGGTCTTAAACACATCTCAGGCTCACCACCAGAACAGCCTGAAGCCTTGATACCTACAACGCCCTCAAAGCACGAGGACCTAAATCCCAGAAATCCCCAAACACCAGAAACCCTACACCCACACCAACTCAACCCCCC